TAAGTATTAGTATCTAATTATTGGTTGTTAATGCTTGTTGTGCTTGTTGGAGTACATATTCATCTATAGTTTAGACTATCGCTCTTGTACTAAAAAAACCAATGTCATGTGATAAATATGAAATATGTTATTTCATTCGTAGATCATTTAATTTATTACTTTACTCCACAATAACATACTAATTTTATGAAGAAAAAAAAATCAGAGTTTATAATTCATGTACAATGAGGGACCGAAGTTCCACTCATATATAATAATTAAGTAAGGGCCTGAAGTCCGAAACCTTGAGCCTAAAGTCTTGAGTCATATGCATAATTTTTTTTGTGAAGCGATCTCCTGTTGTGAATTTAGGGTCCCTAGACCCCTAAATCTGATCCACATATGTTCTAAACGGATCGACAACATGGTTTAATCTTCGTTATTTATTTATCTCTTCATGAATTAATCTAAACCGTTAATTCAAACGACATGTCCTTTTTGGCCATACCAGGTATCATTTTTCATTACATTGAATCAGTCTCGTATGTTTGATCAAATCTCGTATTTAATATTGGCCATCCATTATCTGTCTGCAGTCCAAAGCCTTCAATCTAGATAGTCCAAATTATTCCAATATAAATCTTTTTGTGAAAACAATCATGGCCATCCATTTAAGCTTTTCTTTAAATATCTCAACCTCCTCCCATTTTTTCTTTTCGGTTGACTCCAAATCAATGCAAATGTTCCTATCGCTCTCTTATTTATTATAATTTTTTTGTTTTGTTTAATTAATTTAGTTTAATTAGTTTTAGTCTTGCCTTTAACCCAAGGAAGGACTAAACGATAGTGTTGACCTGACGAGCCGCTCAGGAGTAGGCTTGGTCGACGTTACTAGGTACCCAAACATGTTTGTGAAAATGTGTGAGCATGCCAAGAGGTTTGAATAAAACTTGTTTGGGTTGTGCGACCTTGCAACTTGCGAAGTTAGAATTTTGTTGCGCATTTACTCGGCAAGTCAAGCAAGTTCTCCTATTGTATTTATTGTGAACCATGTTCACTTCTGAACTTTTGATTCTCTTTTATTGAAATGTTGTATGTAGTTCAGTCGGGTTGAGTTTTGTATACTTTCTTGTTTTGTGAATTTATGTATTGCTACTCTTGAACTATTGTAACCTTGTAGGTTGATGCTTATGTAAATATTTTATTTAAAAAGTGTTTATTTTGGTTTTCTGCAACGCGTTTCCACTTAACCAAAAGGGCTTGGGTAAACAAAATAGTGAAAATATTTCACACGTCAACTGTAAACTCAATTCTCAATTTGTCATCTCGATTTACAGTCATAAGTGTCACATGATGCTAAATCCGTCAAAAAATTGTTGGAAATGATTAGGTTTCGTACACATACCTAATTTGTTAAGAGTATCTCAGTAATGTACTCTTTCAAACCTTTTATAATTGAAAAAAACAAAACAAAACATACCCTACCCTTCCCCCACCCAACCCTGCCATTGTTAAAGAAAATTTATTATGGCAACTTGGAAATCGGATGACCTAGTAAAGTTTAGGTGCAACATGTAAAAGGTTGTACTGACGAAAATAGAACAAGCCCAATGAGCCATCACAAGGGGCCCAAACTGGTGGAAATAAACAGAAAACAATGCTAGAACAGATTATCACTATTATGGTATACACTCCTTAAATGCTGGTAAGACAATGGGGTCATGTACTTTCCTCGAATGTCAGCCTCTCTCTCTCTCTCTCTCTCTCTCTCTCTCTTTCTCTTTTAACAAGTTGTGATGTGAAAGCTCCCTCCTACACGATTGTACAGCCTATGGCTCTAGTTTTGCCTCATTTTCACTGCCACCTACTAACTAGGTCCAAGTCCAAGTAACCACAGTAAAAAACTGAAATGTTTTACAATTTCCAAACAATTAAAAGAAAATGTAAAAACAAAACTGAAAGGAAATCACAGTCTGTAAATCCAACGAAGACACTGACACATGCATATATGAAGAAGGAAGGCATGCATTATCATATCATATGGTCATCATAGCCTCATAATATATAATGGACTTTCCTTTTTCTTCCACTTTTTCTTGTCAGAAGGAGAAAAAGCAAAAGCAGAAAGAGCTTTGAAAATTCATCGTTCTTTTGTCCACCTTCTCTCTCTCTCCCTCTCCCTCTCTCTCTCTCTGAAACATGTACTTTTTTTTATAATAAAAATTTATTTATTTCTGGGTTTTTGAATTTGAACTTTTATTTATGTCAAAGGTTCATCAATCATAAAGCAATCGATTACAAAATCATTTCATCACCTCTCACTTTCACATTGGACCATCTTTTCTGTTCTGCCCAAAAAGTCCTGTGTCCTTCTGCCGCTTCTCATTTATTACTCTCTTTTCGAGGAATGGGCCTTCTATTGTTAACCACACTCTTCCACCATCCCTTTTCTCTGCCTTATTTATTCATTCACTGGTCAACTTCAAAGCGTAGAATGTTGTTCCATCCTTCCATATCATATCATAATATTCATATAATTCTAACTCTGAATCAATTTGATCAAGTAGGAAATGCAATTCACGATTCAAATTAAC